ACCTGCTCAGATGTCATCACTGTCTGAACACTGATCTGCTCAGATGTCATCACTGTCTGAACACTGACCTGCTCAGACGTCATCACTGTCTGAACACTGACCTGCTCAGACGTCATCACTGTCTGAACACTGACCTGCTCAGACGTCATCACTGTCTGAACACTGACCCTCTCAAACGTCATCACTGTCTGTACACTGACCTGCTCAGATGTCATCACTGTCTGAACACTGACCCTCTCAGACGTCATCACTGTCTGAACACTGACCTGCCCAGATGTCATCACTGTCTGAACACTGACCTGCTCAGATGTCATAACTGTCTGTACACTGACCCACTCGGACATCATAACTGTCTGTACACTGACCCACTCAGACATTCCAAAGAACTAAAGTTCTTGCCTCTCCACAAACTCTGTCTCTCTCGTAATTCATAATTTACTTTCTGCATGCTAACTTGCTGGGAGTGCAGGCATCCTCATTCTCAACCCTGACATGTCTCCTGGACCTTATATAATTAAGTGGATAGGAAACAGTGAAATTGTATCACTGATTACGAGAGATAAGATTTATTATTCCTTATAAACTCAAAAATACCTTACAAAAATTGAAAAAATATATTTACAGCATATTGAAGTATGCTTATTATTGCCATCTATTACAATTGCCTTGTATGTATTGCATCTATTGCCAATTAGGAAACTGATAAATTGAGCATGAATACTTACACCTTGCCATATCAGTGTTATTATTTTACAACAAATTACAATCAAGACCCCTGTGTGATCAGTGAACAGTTCAAACTAATACTCGTAAATCAAGGGACACAAAATTATAATACTACCATTTGAGTGCATTTCGAATATGTCTTGAGCAAAACAGCTGACAGTAGCCCAGTTATTCAACAACAATTCATCACATTTGTGGGTGTGGGTCAATCGGTATTACCGGTAATGAGCTTCCACATCTATCAAATAATGGACCACAATACCATGTTGGTCAAATTAACACTGAATTACCCACTGTTGGCATTTTATCAACCTAAAAACAAAAACAATTTAATTTAGTTTGACCTTGTTAACACTTCAAAGGAAAATACCAGTCCCTATCCTGTATATCAGGGGTTTTGTTGCAGGTATCTTTCTTTGCAGTGTTACTTGTATGCAGCAATTTTATTAATTACTATCACCACATTCTCTCCATTTTGTAACATGTCTAGATAGTGGACGAGGCTCAGGAAAGATGCCGTCACTAAGTAAACACTCAATTGTGTTTTCTTGCATGAATAGTTTAGAAATCTCTTGTATCGCTGCATAGTCGTTTCTTTTTCTTTCTAGATAAAAATATTTTATTTTATTTTTAATGATCCATGTTTTCGTTGAGACACTGAAGAATAATGCCGTAAAACATAAATGACAAAATTGAAAAAATTTGTTAAAGTTTAATATTAAATCAGATGATTCTTTTTTGAAAATGCATGATTAGTTCTACTAGTTCTAGTTCTATTCTTTAATGTGTG